TCCTGCCCCTATGAATTCAAGAGTCACTCTCCCATTTTCTCTTTGCTCCTACACTGTCAAGGAGTGCAGTGGGTTTGGAGGGCAGCCTCCCAGGTGGTGTAAAGAAGGGGCAACTTCCAGCCAGGATTTTTTCTTTCTGTAATGTTAAGGGCAACCATACGTGGAATTCAAAGAAGGGTGGGGAGAAGTGGCATGAAGGAATCCAGAAGACAGAAGCACTGTAAGGGTGAGGTTTCAGTGTATGAGTGGTTTATTTTTGTTCTAGTGCTTTGGCTGATTAGGGGGTGGGACTTCGAGCTGGGAGGCTTAATGAAAAGATCAGAGCAGGGCACTTGCAGGGAGCACTTCACAAGACTGGCTTTCAGTGTATTGGACCGGACTTGTGGTATCAGCAACCTGACTACTTCGCAGCTGACTCAATTCTTGGTGCACAGTGGTGGCAAGATTTGAAATAGACACACCAGTCAACATGAGCACAGCAGACAAAGTAAGCAGAATTTTATATTAGAAATGTTTTTTTGCTGCAGCTGAGTAATGCGTTTTTAAATGCAATTTATTTTCAGGGACACCATAAATCCTGGTAGCAACATAAGGTAACAATACCAGAATAAGAATAACCTCACCCCAGGGTTATCAATCAATTTTAGTCTTTGACTGGACAATTTAAAATATGACACAATGTAGTATGTGTTCAGATCAATGTATACTTTATTATCTCTATCAGTTCCTGTTCTGAGATCCCACAGAGGTTTAAACTATTTTTATCTTCCTTATAGTGCATATCAGTTTGCTTTCGAAAAAAAGGACATAGTTGATACTGTGTTAAATTTCAGGGTGTAATTGTGCTGATGTTAGGGAAGTCATTAAATTTGAAAATGCACATTAACAAGTCTGGAGCTTAAGTTAATGAAGACAAAGTACCACATGCAATGCAGTACTGAGATGGGACTGAAATTAGTATTTACATCTTTGCTACAAAGTGAGTGACGAGAGATGTAGTAGATCTCACTGCTGAAGGCAGTATGTGTTACTTCTTGCACTACCTACGAGATGCTAGCACACACCAGAGAAATGTAAGAGACGCTGATGGACAGGAACCCAGAGATGGAAAATAACTGAAGTCAAGTACCTTGCTGGAATGTGCCTTAAGACAGTACCAGGATTGTTTGCTGTTACTGCCAATTCTCTTCACTATTCTAAAACCAAGCAACAGGGAAAAAAATGCTCTCTTTTTAATTCTGAAATACTGCAAGTGCAAAATTAACTGTGGTTCACTTGCAGGTATATTCACCGAGTTCAGTCCTCCACCCAGCCTTGGACTGAGCATGGGAAATGAAGTATTGTGATAGAACTAAACTGCTTTGTTTTCACTGTGTTTATCTTGGAGTAATATGTGAATTCAGTGCAGTTTACGTGACCAAGCAGCATAATTCCTAATGCTTTGTAAAAGGGCATGTTCCTACACATACCCTCCCCTTGTTGCAAGAACTTGCAAGGCGGCTAGAACATACGAGCAGAAAAAAAAAACATCACTCCAGCTAGCACTTGCCTTAAGAGATTAAACAGGTGAGTGTGCTGGTGGTGCATCTGCTGGATCATGTTATAGTCAGTAAAAGTTCACAGCAACTCAACCATCAAAACAATTAATAGTTAACCAATGCCTAACTGTAGGAGAAATTTGTTTGTCCTCAACAATCCACAGTTCTTGGCTACCTCTGTTCTTACTAACACTACACATGCTTTGCATGTGCAAGTTGGAACATCATTCTTGTGCTTTGTGGGTATTATAATTATAATTGTAATTATATTAGCCTGCTTTTATTTTTTTAAAGTAAGTTTCCTAGAAAATGTGCTCTTTAAAATGTGATCTTTGGCCTCACGTGTATTTTTTAGTAATCACACTTGTATTTGACACATGAAACATTAAATTTAGTGCAAACCCCTCTTGAGTCTGTCTTCTTCAAAGCATTGTGCTCATTCCCATTTTGAGTCTGGCTGCTGAAAATGCACTATTTTCTTTCATATGTTTAGTATTTCTTAGTTGACTTTTTGTTGATAATTAGACATTATTTCTAATTCTCATTCAAAAGCTTTGATACCAAAAAGTTGCTTATTTTCCCCCTCCAAAGAACTTTGCAGCATAGTGGTAAGTTCTCCCTTATTCCATACCATATATTACATACAGGCTCTGTACCAGCTGTCAAATTAAGGATTCTCTCCCAAAGTCAGATTACCTTGAGGTACATATTGTACTTCACCGTCTTCCATCATTACACACCAGGTATGTCCAGGTCCCTGAGCAAAAGCAATACCCCTGACAGGTTTACCTTTGCCCAAAGCAGGATAGACCCAAACACTTTTACCCAGCAGGTTTCTTTCACATACCACAGGGACTTTATCCCCATCTGCAGTATGTAAAAGGTCTGACTGGGCAGGCCCAGCCCGATTGATGGATCCCCTGGTAGTAACTAACCAGGTGGCCTTTGCCAAATTCTTGTCCCAGTTTTT